CTGAAAAAAAAGAATATCTAAAATATTTATTTCTGCCCCCAAAAAATCACTCATTCAAAACAATGAAAATGTAGACACATGCGACCTACAAGCCATTAATTATCACAAGATACAAAAGACTAAGAAGAGCATAAATGTTTCTCTTTAACCTTATACTTTTAGCCACAGCTTCAACCAAAGAAAGAAGGCAAGCAGGCTATTAAGCTGTTTAAAATCTCCCCAGGTCAGCGTGTGACCCAGCAGGGAGAGGTTCAAAAGAGTACAGCCTTCCTTTCTTCTTAACAACCTGGTTTGTTTCCACCCCCTTCCCCTTCAAGACACATCCCTCACAGCCAGAAGCTCTTTCAATCATTTACTTTGGATGTCTGCTTGAGAACAAATGATCCTGCTCATGCAGATGAGTTTGCCAGACCTGTGTGTACTTTCTAGTCTCTGCTCTTTTATTGTTCTGGTTGAAACCTGACCCTTTGAAATGGATACCAGGACACCAGAAAACTGATTAAAAAAAAATAATAAAAAAAAAAAAGAAGAAGAAAAAGAAAGTTGCTTCCAAGAAAGGGAACAAAAACTATAGAACTCTTAGAGACCAAACCTTTTCCTCTGCTCACAAAACTTTGTACCTTACGCTAAAAAGTAACAACCCACCTTGAAAGATGATCCACGTAAAACTCATATTAAGATTAGCAAAATGAAACAGTATTATTAATTGTGTCATCTGATCTAATAAATGGTACATTTGCCTTTGGAGTAGTTTGTCAGAACAGGTCTGAATCAAAACTTGGACTGTTTTTCACTTTATTACCCCAAACCAATTAAATATTAAGTGGGCACTTTTAAAAACAGAAATTCCTCTATAATACTTAGTTTTAAGCAACATTTTTGAACGGACTTGAGTCCAACGAGGCAGGTAAAATTAAGGTCTTATCTATAATTTTAGAATTAGAGGTTTGATAAAATTCTATTTATGTCATTTCAGCTTAAAGCAATTCTGCTGTTTTGTTAAAGATGAAAAGGCTGATTAAAATAACCTAGTGGCCCTGTTTCTGTTTACCCAGAGAAGAAGGATTCTGTTTTGAAGACCTGGAATCATGAAAGAAGTCTGTCAGTGGTGGTATACCAAACCCCAAAATTTTTATTTCTCTTTACATTTTGGCAGAAAAAAATAAATTGTAGCTAAAGTTATTCTTGTTTCATAATTTTAAATACTGTAAAATGAGTCACCTCAAAAAGTCCTACTTACTTTGTAGTTTTCTCTATCAATAAAATATTTAAAAAGGTTTACACAGCACAGTACGTAGTTCATAAAAGTATGCCAATTCTATAATTCTCAAAATTTGAAAATGTTCATGGTATTCTTCCTGGTTTTGCACTAGGCTAATTAAAAAGTCTGGCACAAACTCAACCTGAAAATATCTAAACTGCCACAAAAGAAAAGCCTGTAAAAGGCCCTGAATAAAGAATCAATCAAGCTTTCAAAATATTACCCACACTAAAAGGTCGTACCAGAGCAAGAAAAAAAAAATCCACAGAAGCTATAACTGAGCTTGACATACCAAGATATAAAAATAAATAGTATATATAACAGTATATAACTGTGTGTCCCATGACACACATATACTTTTAAAATAATGATCTCTTCACTATTATTTTTACTTACTTTAAGAAATATCTCTGACCGGAAGATGTCTTCGCCATTTCCCACCCTGCTGGCAGAGGTACATCATCAGGTATCTCAAAAGAAGACTGGCGAAGATGCTGAGCTGCTGGTGTAGATGTTGGGCCAGCGACTACTCCCGTGGGGGTCAATGTCCCGGGAGAAACAGCTCCAAGCTGCAGAGAAGCTGGAGAGGAATGAGCTCGAACATGCTGTGGAGTCAGGGCTCCTGCAGTGCCCGCATCAGTACTGGCCTATTAGGAATATTGCAATTAAAGAACAAAACAAAAAACAAAGTTAGAATCTCTTTCAATTTAAAGGGATAGCCTAGTAGGATATCACTGTAACCATCTAAATACAAAAAGCAAATGTGAACATTCAACATTTGACACTGGGGCACACTGGTTTTCAGACGGATAGTTTTAATCTTGTTATCATTTTAATATACATTTTATAAACATTTATAATTTTATTGATGAGCAACTTATCTAAATGAGTCCACCCACGTACACTAGACATGTCCTCTACATCTTTTGAGGCAACTAGTACAGAAGGAATAAAACACTTCTAAAATAATAAATACTGTATTTTAAAATCTAGTTTCACAAAGGTTAAGACAGATGAGCACTTTTCCAAGATCTAAAATGCTCCAGGTATAAACACAACCCAAATAATAATTATTCTTCCCTAGCCCAAGCCCTAGATAAAACAAACCCCATCCTTTTTTCTCAATATGAACAAGTGCCATCAGTAATCATAATTTATACAATTCTTAATGATCACAAAAGATTTAGAACCAGCCAAATGTGGTTTTAATAGTCATCTAATGAATGAAGAATCACATCTTGGGACCAGCAATTAGTGTAATAGCTATGTCACTAGACTCCCATGTAGTCAGACTGCGGTTTGAGTCCTGAACCGGGTGGCTTAAACTCACGCCGGGCGCATGTGCGTGCATGCCCAAGATCCTGAGAGGAGAAAGGAGAAGAGATTGCGGTGTGGCCATTCCCCCCACCCCCACCCCGGTGTGTGTGTGTGATTTCTCCCTTTCTGTCTCTCTGTCTTTATGGCCTGCCCACGCACCCTATAGCAAAAACCTCTCCAAAAAAAAAAAATCACATCTTTGTACCCAGAAGATAAAGATGTTATCAGTTCAATTAGAGTGTAACTTAAGAACTCACAAATATTGACAACCGCATAAGAGCAGAAAAAAAATCTGCGCTCAGACCAGAAAGAGTTGAGTTCTAGTCTAACTTGGCTAAACACTGAACAAATATTTACATACTATGAGCCTCAGTTTTCTCATTTGTAAAATAGTTCATGATGTAAAATTAATACATAAAAGAATTTCTAGCGAATGATTTGTAGGTAAGAGTATTTACAACACAAATTCATACCATTCATAATCTAGTATACATTTTTGATTCTTTAATTAAAATTAAGAGTTTGGTTATCAAAAAGTTAGCATTTCCTAGACTCAGATAGGGAAGGAAAGAAAACTAAGAAATCAGCAGTTATTCATGCCTGAAAACTGCTGAACTAAGAAATTATTAGAACATTTAGTTAAAAAGTGTATTAAAAGTAAGTACAACTAGTAGATTATTAATATGAGTTTACAAACTGCTGGACAAATTCTTCTGTAATTATTCACTACACAAATGAAATATACTTTTCAGCTGTGATTCTTTCTGACTTAACTGATGCCACAAAATGGGGAATTTAATTTCCTATTATATGTATTATACTTTCCAAACATATTAAGTTACTAACAGCATATAGCTATGTAGTCTGCAGGGTGCATGCCAACACACATTTATCCATAATGAGTCCAGAAACCCACTTCCAGGGGTAAGGAAAAACATACCTAAATCTACTTCTTACAAACTGCAGGCTTTAGGTAAGCCGCTCAACTTTTTCCTTCCCTTTCCTTAACCCGGTTTTTTGTCATCAGGTTAAGTGAGCTTTCCTGAGTTCCAAAAGAGGAGAGAGCACCACAGGCCTGGAAATGGAGGGGGAATGGCAGTACCGGCGGTAACTTTTCTTCCCACTCAAGTTACAATCCGAGTGGGCTAACTACACTGCACTGTTTGGAAAACCAATTAACTTTCGGGCAAAACCCCTGTGCTCAAGTTTAAAATAAAAAAAAAAAAAAAAAAAAAAAACCTTTAAAAAAAGAATAAAAAACCTTGGCCAAACAAATCGACTGAAACCTATCGGAATGTTAACGCTTTCGCATCATAGTTTCATTTCTATGTTGGCAAAAATAATCGAACGTTGTGTTAGGCGGAAAAGCAGCCATGTTCACATCCTCAGTAAGCATTAAAAAGCAATGGCGATCCTAGAATTAGTCATCGCTTCCCAAACATTAACTTTTAATCACCGTTGAACTAAGCAGGACTCGGCCGATGAGTCAACCTGCAGTGAGTTATCAAAGGCTTGCGTTAAAACCTCGGTGCTGTAAGGCGCAACGCAGTTCCTGCGCAACGTACAGATGTGGCTAATTTAAAGGCATTTCAGCACACTGTAAATAATAGCCTACAATTGGAAAGCCCACACGTGAACCTACTAAGCTTGATAAGAGCGGGCCTGCCCGAGAGCCAGGGCACAAGGAAGCGCAAGGGTGAAACTACTCCATAAACAACTTCCAGGAAAGTCTGGGCCGGGGAAGCCCGAATCCTGTACACGGAGCGCGCCAGCCTGGGCCCCGAAGAAAATAAATGCTCGCGGGAGGGGGAGGGGAGGCAAGGGGGAGGGGACGGGAGAGGAGGGTGCAAGGAGCTAAATGGACCGGTTCAACCCCCACCCCTAATCAACAGTGGAAAACAAGAGAACAATTATTTGACTCCCCAGGAGACTGAAGTGGACCGAGAGGCCCCGAAGGGAAGGGGGCCCCGGGCTCAACTTCACAAACTCAGCCGCCGCTGGCAACTCACCCACACACAAATGCCAGAGGCCCCCCTCCCCCGCCGCCCCGCGGGCGG